CGAAGTGACTTGCCCGATTTGGCTGAAGCTGAGCTGGATCTCAATGTAGCCTGTGCAACTTTCTGTGCAACCATGAAATATTCATGTACCATGAACAGCGGCACATTAAGCTGGAAGGCGCATGCTAGCTGTATATGCGACCGACCGAAACCACCGTGTCTAATGCTATGCGTAACGAAGCCTCAAAATCATTTTAATAACAATAACAAGGGTTATATCGTCTAGTGATTATAACTCTGGACAGAAGCTATCAAATGAGTCAAACGAATTGCAGCCCAATGATCAGCTCGCATCAGACAGCATAACCGTACCTCACACTAATTCTGATAAGGCCACACAAGAACACTACACCGACCCTGTTGTTCGTTTCTCAGCTAGTTGCAACGAACCAACAAGGGTTAATTTCCTTGCTCAAGGAAATTCGCGGATAAGACAAGGATTGTCCTTTTAATGAATCGAACCCGGCATCTGCAGTTAGAAGAGACCTCCGCTACTTTGCCACCATCTCAAGGTTTGTTCATGAGTATTTTACCTCATGTTGCTGCTTTGCATCATCCTTATTGAGAATATTTCGTAATGCCAAAAAAATCCCAAAATTTTACAATTCTCAACTTCAGCAATTGCGGCTACGGAATCATCAGCTTATTTGGCCAAAACAATTCTGGATGAAAAAATCCATTGTCAACACTCGTTATTTCTAAGTGCATATTCAAAAACTGAAAAATGCGATCTACAAAAGTTCTACAAGCCAGAATACTGGTGAATTCTGTCATCTCTGGAAAAATTCCGAACACCGTGAAAGAAAAATCTCGGTTTTGTCTCACCTTTTGATATTCCAATTTCCAGTACCAGCATTACTGAGTAAAAGAAACAATATTACAATAAACTAAAGAGAAAATCGCTTAGATATTTCTGAACTGTGTCATTAAAAGACTTCCTCAGGGCTCACAAAATTTCTTTTCCATGACTTCCTAGCAGTATTTTACTTCGCCCTTGCTTGCCCCTCTTTTTTCTGTCCACCGTGCGAAGGCATAATATTTGTGTGCAGAAGTGCTGTGCATAGTTGAAAAATAACAAACATCATTTGATGTAAGTAGAGTTTATGGCATGAACTGTTAAGTTTGAAAACATTACCGTTCCGGATCATTATGCGTAACTATATTCTTTGCATTCCTTAATTCCATCAATCAAGCATCACTCGGTTTGTTGGCCTGTCTTTTCCAAAAACCTCATCACTCATTCAGAGGATAGACGGCACAGTAATAACAGACAGAAGAATTTTCAAAGTGGATTAATATTAATGCGGAAGTGTCCTCAAAAATCTGTCTGAGTGCCATTTTCTCCACAGAAAACTCCTTAAAAAGCAAAAGACATAAGCAGCTCTGGATCTGTATACTTTGGTCAGATGGGCCTAATTACCATGCTTTAAAATGAACCACTTAAATGCCCAAAATGACACAAGATGTAATAGGTAATAGAATCTGTCTTAAGTCATGATGCGCAAGCGATTGGCGGCAAAATCAGCCTCCTCTAATTCGAAAAACAAACCCAATAATAACTAAAACGACGATAAACAACAGAAGCCAACTTCGCTTCACACTTTCTCACCTTTCGGCAGGGTTGAACTTTAAACACAGTTCGATGAAGTTGTGAAACTTGTCGCTGAACCTGCGATTGCGCTGTTCGTCGCTGATCGCCGCACACTCTTCAGCAGCCCTACATAACCAGATTTTCAAAACATTTCTAAAATATAGTTATACACTGCTGCCCCAAGGGTCGTCTCGTCTAGAAGTCGAGGAGTAGTGCCACGAAGTTTCTCGACAAACATCTAAAACATCGCATTTTTAGCTATCAGTAAAACAACTGACAAAATAACCTATACGTCACATCATAATTCAAAAACAATCGAACAACCTAGCGTTCAGGAATCATATTCGAATCATGTACGAAGCTCGACACGCATCTTGCAAGAGTTGTGTAAGGCGGTCATAAAAAATGATGAAATATCACCTAATGCTGAAGCAAAAATTCTATAAGCTCATAATTATATGTACTGATACTACTGGACCACAGAATATTTTGTTCGCATGTTGGTGGTCATTCTGAAAAACAGCATAAAACATGATTTAATAATACAGAGCCCTGAAGCTTTGCAGTCATGAATTTCTTAAAGACGAAATAGAGTAC